ATGGCAAATATTATGCAAACCTACAGTGTAAAAGAGCAAATGGGGTAGAAAGAAATACAGAATGTGCAGTTTGGATTGAAAAATCGACTAGAAAGATAAATGTTGGAGCCTCCACTGTGCTACTGTACTGGAGTGGATCCCTTTGATAATGTGATTAAATGATTAAGGGGAGGCCTAGAGATTTGCACTTAAACAAATGGAGAGAGTGCCTCCAGGGCAAGATGACACATAGCTAAGTTTCCAACTTGTGAAAGAAAAATGCTGCCTGGGCCACTGAAGAGAAAAGGTTTTAAAATGGATAAAGCAGTCTGGGATCCATCTTAAACCTGCAGCAAATATTGGCAATGTGTTCACCTGGTTCTGGCTTTAGAGTCATGAAAGATGCAAGAGTGAAGGGGTCATTGTTTCTTTCTCCATGGTTTCAGAGCAGCTGAGGTCAGGCAGCGTGCAGCAGGGGTTGTCCTGAATAAAGAATGCCCCAACAGACAATTGCTTGAAGCTGTGAAAGTGAAGTCTGGTTGTCAGTGGAGACACTAAGAAGACGTTTCTGATGACAGAGCTGTGAGGCATCTGCCAAGAAGACATATATACAGAGAGTGGTACAAGCCCAACAGAGAGATGTGTTTTGCACACACCAAAGTTGGAGAGGCTGAGCCATCTAAGCCTTTTGGAAGTAAAATCCCAGAAGTCGACATGGAGCTACTGGATTTGGTGTTTGTCCTGCTGTTTTTTGGTGTTATTTTGGTCCAATATTACCTCACTGTGCTTCTATTCCTCCCTTTTGGAATGGGAATGTGTGTTTGGTTCCACTTTATGTTAGGAGTATGTAATTTATCTTTTGATTTTACAGGGGCTTACACTTAAGTGATTTCCCTGAGTCACAGAAGAGACTTTGGACTGTGGACTTTTGAGTCATATTGAGACTGGAAATGGCTATGGGAACTTTTAAGGTTGGACTAAAATCAATTTTGTATTTTAAATGGTCATGAGCCTATGGGGGCTAGGGAGTGGAATGTGATGGTTATAATGAGAATGACCCTAATAAGCTCCAAGTATTTGGACATTTTTGACCACACTTGATGTCACTGTTTTGGGAGGTCTTAGAAAGTGTAGCTATGCTGGAGGAAACATGCCTCTGTGGGTGAGCTCAGAGAGGTCTTAAGCCTTGCTGGATCTTGAGTTGTTCTTTTGCTTCCTGTGTCTGCTTGAAGATGTAGAGCCTAGCTTCCACTCCTCCTCCAGCCACCTCTGCTACCATGCCTCCTGCCATGATGGGCTCTTACCCCATTAGGAACTGTAAGCTCAAATAAACTCTCCCTTTTATAAATTGATTTGGTCATTGTTTCTATCACAGCAACAGAAAAGTAACTAATACAGTAGTAAATACAGTGGAATGTAATAAGCACAGGAATTCCCTTTCTGAATATGACCCTGATAGCACAGGCATTAAGACCAACAATTCACAAATGAAATCACATGAAATTAAAAAGCTTCTTTAGAGCAAAATACACCACCATTTAAATGAAGACGGAACTTAAAAAATGGTAAAACAAACAAACAAACAAACAAACATCTTTACCACTTATACCTCTGACAGAAAGTTAATATCTAGACTATGCAAAGACATAAAAAAGTAAACATTAATAATCAACTAACCCAATTTTAAAAAGGGGCATGGAATTAAACAGAGAGCTTTCAAAAGTTGGAGTACAAACAGTTGAAAAACATTTTTAAATGTTCAACATCCTTAACCATCAGGGAAATGCAAGTTAAAACTGCATGGCGGTTTCATCTTACCCAGTCCAGAATTGTGAAAATTCTAACAACAAAGAACAAATGCTGGTACAGAAAGAGAAAAGGCAACACTTATTCATTGCCAGTGGAGTGAAAACTTGTGAAGCCACTATGGAAATCAGTGTGGAGATTCCTCACCAAGCTAGAAGTAGATCAGCTACACCACTTACAATTCAGCTACACCACTTGTTGGCATATTCCCCAAAGTTTCTATCCTACTACAGAAATACTTACTCATCCATGTTCACTGTTGCTCTATTCACAATAGCCAGGAAATTGAAATGGCCCAGCTGTCAGCAAATGATGAATGGATATTGAAAATGTACCTATATAACATTGGAAACTAGGAAGGGGTCATCAGGGGATGTGAAATTTCAATAGATTGAGGGTAAAACAGAGATCATAGGAAGGTGAAACTGAGAGAGTGCCTGTTCCGGCCTCCCTCTGGCATAGGTGCTGAGAACTTAGGGGACTGCCTGAGAGCACCTGGACCCTGCCCACACGTGGTGACCACTCATCAATGAAGCTTCTTTTTTACAAAAGATGAAGGCTATTGCAGAGTTTCAGAACTGGTCACACACAAAGAATATATATCTGAGAGGTGCCCACCCCTAGGTGACATATCTACAGTGGAAAGTCTACAACTAAGGCTCAAAGAACATAGTAGAATAGGGGGTGGAGTGAATACTAGTGGATCCCTCAACTCTCATCAGCAAATCTTCAGAGTGAGATGCACACAGAGGACCATACCTGAATGAGTTTTAGAGAACAAGAAACATCCGTGTGTGTGTCTTTGGATAGGACTCCTATATCGAATCTCACCCACCCATGGCTCAGGGAACATTGTGGAAGATGCAGGCAGAAAGAATGTAAGAACCAGAGTTGGTCCATGAACACAAGGAAGCAGAGGCTTTCAGGCCACTGGACGCTTGCTCCTGTGAACTTTTGGTAATGATGATGTCGAGCACAAGACCCATGACAACTCAATCAGTAAAGGGCCCAGAGTGGTGCAAGGGAAATGGGTGATGGGCTGGCCCTAGTCTGAGAACTGCTGGAGACTGATTACAGCTGGGTGAGGGAAAGTAAACAGTAGGCCTTAACACTAATGACAGAATGTATGAATTCCAGTGGGAGGAGTGCTAGGGGAGGGTGCCAGTGGGGGTGTAATACATAAAAATTCAATAAGAACAAATTTAAATAAAAAAGAATCCTAGACAGTCTGAATAGACTCCAGTGGATTAACTAGCACCAAAGGACATTGGGTAAAATGCTTCACCAGATGTGACTTAACATGTATGGCAGAATACATGAGACCCATTGGGGGGGGCATGGATGGAAAGGGGGTCTTAACTACATCAAGAACTGTTGTATGAAAAGGAAGTATGGGAAGCCATAACTATTACTAAAGACCTCTGAAAATGCCCCATACTATATGGAAATATATTAACATAGACTCTCCTATATATTTACATAAACATATACAGACATATATAAAATCACTTTTAAAATGGAGGTATTCTGTAACAGGAACAAGGCTTCTCCCAACAACCACAGGCTATCAAACAAAAAGCCCAGGGTTAGGCAAGGGTTAACTCTTTTCAAGGTGTTGTTGGTCAATGGGGTCCCATACACCACCCCTCAAATATTATAGGTGAGGCTAATGCTATTATTTTGCTTACCCTCCAGAATTTGATGGTTAGACCCTATTGTTGAAGAAATGACATACTTGAGTCAAAAGATATGGGAAAATCAAGTTGGTACCTATCTGGAAGCTTCATTCCTACTGGCTAGTTTGTATAATGTTGGAAAGTTCTATGTATACTTTCTTACTGAATTTAAAGCCTGTTCCAAAAGACAAAACTCATTCTTGTAATTGTTAACTGGGTCAAAATTCCAGGAACGGCTATGTCATAGGCCCCTGTGGAGAACATAATACTATTTTTCTGCTAAGGGGGCATAGTGTTACAATGCTCCAGATGTTTCTATCTTTATATCCACAGATTAGTACTTTTCTCACCCCTCATCAAAAGCTTCTATTTGCAGTACATGGTGATTAATATGGAGACCCACAACTGATCAGTCTGCAGGGAATAAAAGATTGTAACATGCTTGGCTCTAAATGGGACATCTATATCATATTCACTTGCCCTAAGGCTCAGAAAGCAACACAGAAGGGGGATATATAACGATTATAAGAATCAAAGGTAGAGAATTACTGTGACCAAAACGTGTCCTCTGAACGTGACAAGGCATTTGCACATATGAACCCACAGCAGTAAAGGCTACATGCAGAAGGCCTGTGCAATATCAAGGCAGAGAAAATTGTGGCATGGATGGAGGTGACATAAAGTCCCACCTTGAGTTTAGGAGCTATTGACAATTCATGGCTGCAGGGAAAGGGGGAGTAAATTTTGTTCATGATTGCAGTCCCTGAAAGGCTACCTGTGCTCCAGTAGATTGTCCCTCACTCATGTACATACAAGCAGCACTGAGGAGAATTAATAGGTTAAAAAAAGGGAGAGCAAATGAAGTTGGAAAGGAAAAATGGTGGGGGGATAATAGGGCAGGAATTTGATGGGATAGAATTGGGTTTGATTTGATCAAAATATATTATATGCATGGAGGAAACCTCCAATATAAAAATCATATACTCTTGAAAACTAACAAAATAAATGCATATAATACACTGAGGGGAATTTATTCTGAATATTATTAAATTTCAAATAAGGGCAGTGTAGCAGGTAATATGAAAAAGATTCTGTATTGTGTGATTTCACTTTTAGAAAATTTCCAGAAATGCAAAGCTACAGAAATAGAAAGCCAACAGGACTGTAAAAAGAATTGATGCAGGTCACCCAAGCACCTGTACTTAAACCATTTATCATCCCAGTATAGCTCATTAAAAAAACAGGGAATCAATCTTTAGAAAATACATTAAATAATCCTTTGAAACAAATGTACACATTACTCTAAATTTCAAAGTTTAATTATTTATAATTTTGCTTGTCTTAGTGGTCATCACTTAACTTGGTCTTCCAAATTGTAAATAAAATGTTATGAAGTCTATAAAGCTTTGTCTCATAAAAAATAGTATTATTCAGGCTTCACCAGCTATATATGACCTAGATACTCTATTTTAAATTTCATTCGAGAGTTCAGCATTAATTCTACTCATAAGATCAGTTATATATATATATATATATTACCTTGTCTGACTTGTCAGTCTAAATTCCGTCATAGCTGTCTTAAATAATCCAACACCTTGGATGTCAATGACATCCTCCACTTCAGGCTCAGTAGCAATCAATGTTATAGGAAATTTCCAGATTCCATTGGTTATACATTCAACCTTCAGTGTAATATGGGCCCTTGAATATAAAAGGATGTTTTTAAAAAATATTACAGGAGAACAAATAAAAATATATCCATTTAATAGCTAGTAAAATATAAACAACATTTCAGTCTTCAGAAAAATCATGGGGACATTTAATTTTTGTCCTTATAATGGTATATTTTTATTGGATTTTTGGTATTTCATAAAGCACATCTTAGACATATTTAGATACCCTGCCATATTTGCACCCCCTTATAGCACAGCCATAGGATTTCATGTAATGTGTCATATATGTTATGGCCTATTGAGTCAAGTTTGTGTACCCAGATGTCCCTTCATGTGAGTTCATCCACTTCAGTCTGTTCAGTCTATTTAGTTTTACTCTCTTAAAGAAGATCAACTCTCTATCACCCAGCAATGATTAGCTGTAAATACAGTTCCGGGGCCAAGGTTGGAGCCCCCTGCCTATTTTTCCAGTTCAATGTTGTTTTTTGTCTGTTGGAGGTTGCATAGGTCTTGTGAATGCTATCACCACTGCGGTAAGTTCATATGAGCAAGTTCCAAGGAGTCTGTAAGACTGTTTCTTTATGGTCATGTACCACCCCTGGCTCTTACAATCTTTTTGCCCCCTCTTCTGCGATGTTTCCTGAGCCCCAGGTGGGTGAGTTTTAATATACAAGTCCTATCCAGGGACACATACTCTGCAGCCTCTTATTCTCTACACTTTGGACAGTTGTGGCCTTCTGTGTTCATGGCCTTCTGTGGCATGAGGAAGGTTCACTAATGAAATTTGAAAAATGCATTAGAACTCTCTCTACCCCTTGTTCCACTATGTTCAGTGAGCCTTACTTCTAGAGGTTCCATTGTAGATGCATCACTTAGAGTTGGGCATCCCAAAAATACTTATTCTCTGTAGGACATTTTTTAATGTAGATGTCCATAACTTCCATGTTAGGAACAGTTTTTTTGAGGCAGGGTCTCTTCATAGCCCCAACTGGCCGGGAACTCACTAATCAGACCAGGATGGCCTTGGTCTTACAGAGATCTGTCTGCATCTGCTTCTGCCTTGATAGTGTTGGGACTAAAAGCATGTACCACCAAATCTTGCTTAGGAATTATTGTGTAGCTAACAGATTATATTATTATTGACCCTTTGAGACAATTATTTTGTGGATTATCTTATCCACTCTTTAATTTTCTAAAATGAAATAATTTGCACATAATCTGCTTTGTAAATATTCTATAACCAGCACAGACTACCATAGGTGGTTTATAAGATATGAATACGTTTTTGGCAAAGGGGTTC